TTTGGCTGAATTAAAGTTCACTTCAAAATGCGCTAAATTTTTAGAGCAATTTAGAAACTGTTTGTTAAATTTGAAATGTGTTTGCATTGAAAACAGCAATAATCACATCTTAATTGAATCCCTGGAGAGTCAGTACAAGACTATTATCACCGATGGATGCGCTCAACACTCGACCCAAACCACAACCACTCATAACTGGCCATTGGATACACAGACAACACCTGTCGGCCACCGATCGGAGACTATTACTACTGAAGACCAGTCAATGACCGCAGAATACACTATAAATGACGGGCAGATAGAGACAGACACTGGAAGTGATGGATGTGTTGCCACAAATACAGAGACAATTCATATCATGAATGAAAGTGTGATTAAAAGGGAAAAGGAGGACATGAATTGGTCCCCACTTTCTGTGATGAAGTACTCGACATATAATAAGCCGAAGAGACAGAAACCACAACAGACTGCGAGGAAGTCATTTGTCAGTTCACCGCCGAAGACATCATTCTATATCTGCGATTGGATGGGATGTGTGGATACATTCATAACGAAGAGTCTATTGGATAATCACCGGAAAGTCAATCACAAAATTGATGTACCATTTGGTGCGCGACTTCAAGGCTGGCGACAACAAGTGGCCGACAAAGCAGACCGTCTGACAGATCCGTCTACTTCTTTGCCTCTTAAGCCGTTTGCATGCGATTACAAAGACTGCCACTTTCGGGCCGTCAATCAGTCAATACTTGACAGCCATCGGGAGTATCACAAGAGTGTTGACCTTCAATACAGTTGCGATTACGACGATTGCCATATGAGGTTTGCAGCCGAGAGGTCGCTAACCATTCACCGCCGCACGAGTGGACACTTTGTAGACAATGATATACTGGCGACTCCGGGGCCGCCCTATGGCTGCCAATGGCCTGACTGTACGAAAACCTTTAATACAATGTGGAAACTGAAGAGACACGTGGATGGCGTCCACACAAACGTCCGGCCATTCGAGTGTCACGACTGCCCGAAACGGTTTCTATCGAATAGCGATCTTTGCACACATCGCCGGGAAAAGCACTCATTGGAACCGATTGTGCCGAAGAAGGTGTTTAAATGCGATTACAATGACTGCCAGTACGAGACCACCTATTCGGGCACTTTCAGTGAACACAAGAAACGTCACCTCAATATCAAAAAGTTTGTCTGCGAAGAGACCGACTGTGCGGCGAGTTTTGTTACTAACGGCGACCTTAAGAGACATATGCGGTCGCACAGCGATGAACGGCCGCATCGGTGCGATTGGCCCGGATGTGAGATGGCGTACAAAAAGACCGAGAGTTTGGTCGATCACCGGCGCCGACACACCGGAGATCTGCCCTTTTTATGCGATGACTGCGAGGAAAGGTTTCCCTCCAATAACTCACTGACAGAACACCGCCGGAGACGACACGACACTAAGAGATATGAATGCGCTGTCAACGGCTGTTCGTGGGCTACAAACACGCGGTCAGAATTCATTGTCCATCGAGGGAAGCACCAGAATGTGGGGCAATTTGTGTGCAAAGAGACCGATTGTGGGAAGAGTTTTGTACTCAAGTCAAGACTCAAGAAACATATGGTGTGTCACAGCGATGAGAAGCCGTATCGGTGCGATTGGCCCGGATGTGAGTCGGCGTATAAATGGTCCACAGCTCTGGACCAACACCGGCGCAAACATAGCGGCAATCGGGAGTACAAGTGTCCGTTTGAAGGTTGCGGCAAAAGTTTTATGTCTTGTAATAATCTTTGGACGCATAGAAATATACACAAACAGCCGTATGTCTGTCATTGGCCCGAATGTGACCAGAGATTTGGTGATAGCCGTCGTCTTAAGTCCCATATGAACGAACATCAGGGCATTCGTCCCCATAAATGCCATTTCAGTGGATGTGATAAAAGCTATTTCGGTAAACCATCACTCAATGCACACCTAAAAGCCGTTCATAAATTGGTTTTGAGTTAAAACATAACATTATTAATGCTATAATAAATATTAATATATCTGTATATGAATTAAATGTTATTACTATTTAAATGATTAAAATTACGGAATTAATCACAACTTGTGTTGATTTGTCTCTAAATCCAATTCATATAAAACACGTTATCTATGGATGTGTTGGAAATGTTTTGTTTACAAACAGTTTTGAGTGAAAAACCAAATTGAGTTTTGATTGAATTGTGATTTAAATTGTGTTTTAATGAATGAATAATTGAATGAATTGATCATTAAATGAGTTAAAAGACAGCAAACAATGTATGAAATAGTAATCAATGAATTGACTGAAGAGTTATTTGAGGAAAATAAGAGACTTTTAAATGAATTGAAATTCACGACAAAATGCGTTAAATTTTTAGAAAATTACAGAAACTGTTTATTAAATTTCAAATGTAATTGTAATCAAGAATTCAATAATAAGATCTTAATTGAATCCCTGGAGACTCAGTACAAGACTATTATCACCGATGGATGCGCTCAATATAAGTCATTGACTGCCGATTACGTTGAAAGTAAGGGACCGATAGAGACGGACACTGGAGTTGAGAGAAGTGTTGACACAAATGAAGAGATAAGACATACCATTAATGAGAATGAGATTAAAGTGGAGGAGGATATGGTTTGGGATCCGCTTTCTGTGATGAAGTACTCGACATATAATAAGCCGAAGAGACAGAGAGTACAGACGGCGAGGAAGTCATGTATGAGTTCACCGCCGAAGACATCTAAAGTTTATCAGCCAGAGACGAGTCCACTGCCAAAGACATCCCTTTATGTATACGAGAGAACTGGCCATCAATACCGCTGCGCTTATGACGACTGCGGCCGGAGTTTTATGGATGAGAAGAGTCTCAAAACACATCAACACCTGAGCGGACACTTTGATGACACCGACGATATGGCGATTCCGGGGCCGCCCTATGGCTGCCAATGGCCTGACTGTACGAAAGACTTTAAGACTACATGGATGCTGAAGAGACACGTCTCTCAGGTGCACACCTGTGTCCGGCCATTCGAGTGTCACGACTGTCCGAAACGGTTCGTAACGAATAGCGAACTTTGCTTACATCGGCGGCAAAAGCACTCATTGGAACCCTTTGTGCCGAAGAAGGAGTTTAAGTGTGATTACAATGACTGCCAGTACGAGACGACCAGTTTGAGTAATTTAGATGATCACAAGAAACGTCACCTCAATATCAAAGAGTTTGTCTGCGAAGAGACCGACTGTGGGATGAGTTTTGTCGCTAACCGCGACCTCAAGAGACATATGTCTGTTCACAGCGATGAATGGCCGCATCGATGCGATTGGACCGGATGTAAGTCCGCCTTTAAAAAGGCCGATAGTTTGGCCGATCACCGACGCAGACATTCTGGCGATTTGCCATTTGCTTGCGATGACTGCGAGGAAAAGTTTCCTTCAATTAGTTCACTCAATAGTCACCGCCGGAGACGACACGACACTAAGAGATACGAATGCGATGTCAGCGGCTGTTCGTGGGCTACAAACACGCGCTCGCAATTCGATGTCCACCGACGAAAGCACCAGAATGTGCGGCCATTTGTGTGCGAAGAGACCGATTGTGGGAAGAGTTTTCACAGAAAGTGGTCCCTCACTAAACACATGCAGTGTCACAGCGATGAACGGCCGCATCGGTGCGATTGGCCCGGATGTGAGTCCGCTTACAAAACCAGCGCTAATTTAGTCGATCACCGGCGGACACA